TATTCAAGCCTTAAAATTGAGAAAACGTGAGAATTCTGGTCTTCTAGCGACAGACTCGCCGTTTCCGCCCCTAACAATGCTCATATTTGTCCAATTCCAAATAAAATTTTTATTAGACATAGTCTAAATTCAAACACTGCCATGGCAATGATAATTTTATTATAATTTAATAAATCATAAAAATTATGTTTTTTGCAAACATTAGATATTTATTAATGTAAGAAGGAAGTAACTATAATTAATTATGTCACTAGTACGCAATAAAATATAATAGTACTAGGAATATTAATAGTTATATTTGATAATATTTTATATAACCTTATTAACTCGATTAAATCATTTTATTAAATAAAAAGATTTAATAATATTAAAGACAATAAATTATAAAATAAATTAAAATCTTAATATTATCTGAATATCTATTTAAATAATAATTTAGAAACCTAATACACAAAGTCAACCCCCTAATAGTTAAAGAGTTAAAAGATACAAATGCGCTTGATTACAATCATAATTATATCGATCACAATAAGATGTATAGGCCACACTAATAAATTTACTACTGTAATTAGTATTGAACATTAAGAATTGCTTATAGTCCATAATATTTTAACTCATGATGCAAATGCTTTTGATGAATAACTTTGAATTTTATATTTTTTCTACTTTTGTTGTTTCATTCCATGCTTCATAGTACATCTTATTAATATTAATTCTACAAGAAAAAGAAATTCCAACAATATCTTTTCCAAAAACATTGCGCTAATTGCTTCCTAATTAGAATGTTATTAAAAAGAAATTAATTTAAATTGGAAGTTCGAATAAAAATGGCTTTAAAATTTATATTACCTAATACTATTATTACAAAATACTAATCCAATATAACATGGCACAAACAATATATATTGTATCGTGCTAATAAACAGACAAAGATATGCCAAATATCTGATATTATTAAACTTGCATTAAAACATAAAACATATACCATTTCGGCGGATTGGCGGAATTGGACCTTTTTTAGATCATCTGAATTTGAACCCTATTCATTCTATTAATCATTAATAAAATATGTCATTCTCTGATATAACTGATATCCGTATAATTTATTAATTTGATATAATTATTATTACCCTTAAAATGATTAATTTAGGGTCTAATTAAAAGGGCCAATTCCGCCGATCCGCCGAAATGCAGTGCTTAAAAATAAACTAATTAAACTCAATATAATGAGGGTAACTAATTCTTCGAAGTTGTAAGAGAGATAATAAATAAGGAATAGTGAAAATTAATTGTGAACCAAGTAAAACTAAATAATAAATATGTCATAAGAATTATAAAAAATACAACGGAATTATATTACACCATTTAAAACTATTAACAATAATTTAAATTATGATTCAAATAAACATTTAATTAATAACAATTACATTATAATCATATTAAAGATAACAAACATATATTTGAGGTTTGTTAATGAATGCGAGAATAAATTGCATACCAAAGATTGTATAAAGATAAGAATAAAGACCAAACCAACAAATAAGATTGTAATAAAAAGAATTCATCTCTTCTAGACTAAACAATATATAATAAATATAGCTTATTTTACTTAAAACAAAAATAGTTAAGCAGAAGAAAACAACAGGTTACTATTTTCAAGTGAATATAGATACAGATAAATAAACAGAGTTTTATAATTACCAAAGCCATCAAAAAAGGAATATAATGCTTGATATATAATTCAATTTATAAAATAAATTTTTATAAAATAGAATGCTTGCTTCTCCAAATATAATAATTTGTGAAATAGTATATAAACTAGTATAGGAATATCTATTTAAATAAACAAAATGTTGAATTATTTCAGATAGATCTACATCAGCTTAGAATAAACTTTCATAATGCAATAACCAAGAAATATTGCATTTTGAAATCAATTCAGAATAGATGGTATTATTTTTAGCAAGGTAGTCATTGGCAATAAGAATATTACTATTATTGGATGCGTCTTCAGTATTACTTGTATTATCCTGAAGAGCAGAATGCCAATAAGCAGAGGAATCTTCAAGTAAAGAAGAGATATAACCAAAGATTGATTTCATCAAAATATTAGATATTTCATGCTCAAAAATCTGAACACCAACAATCGGGTTTAATAAGTAAATCCACCTTCTATTCGTGGTATGTAATTTATCACAAAACCCACAACTTGATCCTTTTTAAATGTCTTCTACAAATTATAGATAAATTGGTTATCTTGTAAAAATTTAATATACAAACTATGTTAAAATCCAAAATCAAATTATTTCATTGTAAAATTTCTATATATTACGTATACAATAAGTGGTTAATGCACAATTCAGGATTTTTATTTTAAATTAGTTTCTCTGTCATTATATATATTAATTTGATTATCGTAGTAACTTGTTAATAAATTATATTCTAACCTGGTTTAACGCCAACTTTAATAAGAATGCATATTCTTGATTAAGATTAGACAAAAAGCATCAAAAAAACATCAATGGGAGTCAATCTTTTCTTTACTCATTTCATGAAGGCAAAAAAGTATGAATTGGAATAAATGCTTCTTATTCACAGAACCTTTAAAGCATTTAATTGAAATCAGAGTTGTGTATTCGTATATATGTGCTTTAACGGTTTTATTACTCACTATTGATTTTGCTGTTATCTTCATAGACACCAAGAGCCTTCAAATAAGATAAATTATGCTTGTTGATCTTATTACGATCTGAAATTATGCATATAACGATTTTTTCTCATCCATCTTTATCCTGATTGAATTTAAGAAGTTAGCAATAGAAAAATTTTTAATTTTAATTGAGAGAAAATATCTACCCATTCTGGGAACTCACTAAGAGAGCAAAGATAAGCAATAGTTTCCATTGTCTGGTGAAGTGTGCTTGACTACCTTCCTATTGACATGCATTGAATATATACCGTTTAGCACTGTATACAGTACCCGGGGTCTTATTCAAGAACACCATTTTTAAAATTGAATAGTACCGGTACTATTCACGAATCCAGCAATTTCATTGGTGGAAAAGGGGATACTTTATGTGGTAGGATATTATTCGAGGGGGATATTTTATACAGTGCTAAACGGTAGTTTATTAATTAAATATCATTGTTGAAAATAGTTATTTATTAATAACTTAAAAATAATTTCAATTTTCTTACATTATCCACGGTTATTAAAATAAATAGCTCAGTCATTCTTATTGTCTCATATTTAGTTTGATGGAGAATAAAATTTTCTTGCTTAAAAGTGTCTGGTTTGCGGATGTGTAAATTCTTTTTGATTTTCATGAGAAATATTAGTTAATAAACTTGAATGCACAGGACATTCTATCATCAAAATTCTATTTATTAATTCAACAGGCTTTATAATTTTATGCTGATTAGATATCTGTTCTAAACCTTCTATAGAAATCGACCTGAGATGATTGGAACTTTGAGACAATGATTTAATAACACTAAATGAACTTTCATTTAATGGTATACAAACTATAGGAACAAACCAAAAAGTTAATGATAGTAAAAATGACCCTCATTAAGTGCACACATTTTTAAGTTACATTGATGCAAGTGATTTGATCAGTCAATAAAATATTAATGCTTTAAGTTGTATTACAATATCTTATCAAGGTTTTCCATTGCCTTATCAAAGTATTTCGAATATTAATTTCCTACAGGTTTCACTCCAAACAGCCTGCACTTAGAAGGATTACTATATACGACGTAAAGATTAAAATGAACTAATGTGGACTTAATATATACAGGCTATAATTTAAGAAAGATGCATTTAAATAAGTGTTACAATAAAATGTTTAATTAAAAACGAATAAAAATTATACCCAGCGCAACAATCTTAAATTACCTTCTTCATCAGGATATTCAAGCGATTGTTGATCTAGTTTATTTGTAATGAATTCAATAGTTGATACATCTAATAATTTCTCAAGTTTCATTCAATATTGGATGCTGGTTCGGATCAGATGACTATCATTCTTTGTAGAGGATAGCGTAATTTAGGGGTGTATTAAAAATAGTATTCTCTCTTTTTCTTTTGTAAAAATAAATATTATTTGTGGATCAGGTAAATCATAAAATCGTCGAACTCCACTTGTGAGTTTCCAAAATAAAACTCCCAAGCTATAAATGTCGGATTTTTTATCTGATGTTTTATTATGTTGTAGAAAGCATTATGGTTCAATATATACCGCTACACCTCCCATATTTGAACTTGAAATTGTAGTATCCTTTATTGCTTTGATATTACAAACTCTGTAATTAAATCTCTACCATTATTCATCAAAATATTCTTTGCATGCTAAAAAATTTTCACATAATTTTGCATAATTTAAATTTAGACATGAATTAAAATATATTTTAACTTACCAGATCACGACAAATAATGTTTTTATCATGTAAATGCATCAATACAAGTGTAATATCCTTTGCAATTTGGATAAGTTCTGTCCATGCAATTTTGCAAAGACCATTTATATGCTTACTTTGTAAGTATGTCCGTAGGTATTCACTAGTGGCAAGTTGTAGTACTAGTGTAAAGTAACCCCTGGCGCTATTAAAATTTATGAAATTAGAGTTTGCTATTCAAGAGTGATATTTTATAGAATTTTACAATATTAGAATGATCAGTTTTGTAAAGACGTCGAGTTGTAGTATACGTATTAAACTACATAGGATTTAGTTATTTTAGATAGTAAAATATATATTTTCAAATATGAAATGGCATATTACCTCATGTCGTAATTGTCTAAGGCCTTTCAAGTCTTTTAGTATACTTTTTTTTTTGGAATATAGCAGAATCCACAAATGTAAATCCCCCTTCTCCAATGAGTTCAATGTAGTTGAAATTGCGAGTAATCAAAACTTTTAATGCCGCCTGCATTCAAGTAAAATTGCAATTGCTCTTTATATTCATTTACTAATTGACGCGGTAGATTTGGTTGACACGTGTTTGGTAGCACGGGACCAGGATCGGGTTCGTGTAACTTACGCGTTGCATGATCGAACATTATGTTGCATAAATAGAACAATGGTCTTTAGTAAATAGCTTTAGCGAAGTTTAGATTAGAGAGAGAGAGACTTTAATAATAAAGAAAGGTCTAAACAATAAACCTTATTCTGAGTGAATATACTGTATCTTAGTGATATTGTATTGGTGGTGGTAGTATCTGGTACAATACACCAGTCATCGCGCAATTAGCCAAGCGAGCGGAGTTTGGTAGTAAAGACCCGCAAATACACGGTAGTTTAGGTAATTCCGTGACACTAATATTATACAGTTATTCATAATGTTAGATAATACAGTATTATGCAAATTTTTATAATGTGATAGTTTGGGATGCACGATATACTATGCAATATGATATTATCTAAAATTTTTATGAAGAAATATAATTTCTCGAAATGTGCAATGTTCAAACTTTAGGACAAAGACTAATATTATAGCTTTATAAGTAAAATTACGATGACATTACTTTAAGAACAATAACTCATAATTTGCTTGTAGAGATACAATGGTATCCTTTGCAAATTTTGTCCAAAATATTAAACTATTAAGGCTGTACACTTATTTAAATTTCACGAAAAATTATACTTGCAAAAAATTTATATTCTATATAAAAATTTAGATACATTATAACTATATAGTTCAACCTAGTAATACGTATGACTCATCTACTGTATACAAAAAGAATCCGTTAAAAATGCCTAAACAAGGTTATTTAATAAATATAACGATATAAAAGGATGAATATATCTTTAAATAGAAATTGATTTAGGTGAGTAACCAACATGAGGTTAGTTCCAACGTAAGGTAAATTAATGTTTAAAGTCCGCCAATGATTAGTAATCATGAAAAATACTAATTGACCTCATATTAAACCAACCTCATGTTGGTCCCTCACAATTAATATTAAGAACACCCATTACCATACTCGAACGATAGTAGAACGTTACTCATGATTAAGATGAGTGAAAACTTAGAAGTATAGAATTAAACTAGACAAATGAAATAATACAATTACTGGGCTCAAGAATTATTTTTTTTATACCCGGTGCTTATTATAATATTAGACGGCAACATCAAAAAAATATATAATTAATTAAACCATAATCGATTTCTTCTCATTCATCGCTGGAACGAAATTTCTATTCGTCCTGAAAAATGGTAGCAAATCATAATACGCAGTTCACAATGCATTAAATTGTTACATTTGTGTAAATTTTAATATGTTTTGGGAAAACAAATCTATGTGTAGTTGAGTTTTGGTCAACTATGAACCATGTAAATCAAAACTATATAATGTATTAAAATTAAAGATTTATTTTTTTTTCTTTTAGTGTTATCACAAGATAAAATAACATCATGGACAAACTGGTTCGCAATTTAACTCCAGAGGCTTAGATAATTTATAGCCGATACAAAAGAAGTCACTACAAGGTGAGTTATGTTTAAGGCTCATTAGTCCTCTAAAGTTATAAAAAGGACGTAACTTGGTTAAGGTTTGTTACGACACTTATGTTCGAGGTAAGGGTACATAGACTCACAAATTCAATAATAATTTCCCTTAGATTATATGACCCAAATCACCAACGTCACACTTCTGGTGAGTTGCCTTATATCATAAATTCTATATTTTAAGTATAGATTATCGATTATAATTATTCACCCCGTAACAGTTTTTAATGATTATTAAAGAAGAAAATTTCTTAATTTACACCAGGTGTATATACACACATACTAATTTTTGATTTACGAATTTGTTTAACATATAA